ACAAATCATTTTATAACCCTGAACTCTATTGTTTGCTAAACTAGTTATAGAATAGATTTATTTTACTATCGAAAAAAAAAACGTAATTTGTTTTCAAAACAAAATTATCACATCTAGATAAGGAATCATTTTGATAAGTTTCACTAAAATTTCTTTCAAATTCAAAGCCTCTAAAATTAAAAGAATTTTGGAAATGGTGTGATAGTGTTCGCTATTATGTATTTATCTTACTACTCCCTATTTATTATTTATATAAACATAGCCATACGACTGAAAAAATCGTACCATAATATTATTATCTCGAAACTTTCCGTCCAATGTTTTTGTGTTTTTTTTTTACTATAGTTTCTCTCTACAGTTTGCTTTTTTGCAAACGAAGATGACTTGGCACAAGTCCCAAAAATAAAAAAAATAAAAACATTTAAATATTTTTCGGCTGCTCCCACCGGCAATAATAGTTTTTGCCTTTTTTCAGATTAAATGCGGGTATGGCCTTTATTTTTTCTAGTTTTCGTAAACAAATAGAAAGTAGTTTTTTTTCATAAAAGTTTAGAGAACTTAACATAGAAAAAGACGGTAATATTCTATGGAACTTAAAAAGAAAACGATAGATAAACTACTGCTGGCGTGATGTTTAGGAGAAAATAAACAGATACAGATAGAATAAAAAAAAGTAAACAAAAGAGCAATAAATATTTTGGTTAATTAAGAAAAAATGAGAGAACATTTTCATAAAATACAACAAAAACCGGTATTTTATAAAAGAGATTAATTAATTTTAATAAATTTTTTGTTTAAAATTTTAATAAAATTGAAGAATTTGCTACTTTTAAGAGAGTTTTAAATAATAAAGAGAAAAAGATGCAAAACAAAGAAAGTTGACAGACCAGCCCCATGTTTTTTTTTTTTTTTTTTTTTTGTAAAATTTGTTTTGTTTTATTAGTTTAGTAACCATCTCTAGTGTTGTGTTGTGCCGGTTAGAGTTTAATCTGTTTTAAATTAATTCCATTATTTGTTTTTTAATAATTTTACAATATTTTCATATAATTTGTATGAAATCTTATCAAGAAATTATACTATATACGTGTTATCAGTTGTGTTTTCATACAACTTGTTGTACAATTCCTCTCCCGTTTTTACTTTTTTCATCCATTTAGTCGGTTGTACATTGCATAACCTTAAATACGTTTATAAAACGAGAAGAGTGCAAAAGTACAAATATTTTTTTTATTAAATATTTTATATTAAAGTTTACTATCAGTCTTGTTTTCGTTTTGAAGCCAAAACGTATTGCAGGGGAATTTTAAAGAAAAAAAGTTAATTTTTGTTTAAAAGAGTAAAAGAATTTGCAATATGTTTTCGTTACGTTTGGCCACCCGTTGTTTAAATGCCGCTGCTCCGACTTTTTTGAGAAATAATACAATTAATCGGACAATTATTTATGCTGGGGTAAGACAATTTTCACTTAATATTGTTTGTATTAAAAAAATAAAACATGTAAAAGTATAAGTTTATAACTTAAAGTTTAAATATCAATTAGTCAGTTAAACAATAAACAAATTTAATCTAAGGTTTATTTATTTGCTACTTTGCAGTATTTTAAGTTTTATAAATCTCTATAGTCTTTGCCTATCGTGAAATAAACCAGCTCTTCGCTTTTGACATTTCCGATCCGAGTTTAACCTACCTTCATTGGCCGCTTAAACAAGTAAACAAAAGAAAATAACGAGTTGAGTTTATGAAAACTTCATTGCTATAAATCCTGTTCTTTATGATCTTCATAGACTATTCTCTAGAGTAAACCGTAGACTTTTCCATATAACAATGGACAAGGACTTGTCAATTGACTAGCGTATGGAATAGTCAATAGAACATTTCATAGAGTATACAATGAACTAATCCATAGATTAATAAACTAGTTGACAAACTAGGAAATAGTTGAGTCAGTAGTCTGGTCCATAGAAAAGTCTAAAATCGTCCCCGTACTTAAATTCACACATATTTTCTTACTTTTCTGATAACTTTTAACTATTTCAGATAAAAATCTGTAGTACAAATCAGGTGGTCCAACTAAGTTTATTTTTATTAGTTATTAAAAAGATTTTCTATTGGCATGCTATCAGATATTTTTCGCACTATCTAATCTAACAATACATACTTATAATTTTGTAAACAAATATAGCAACAAGTTGCTCAAAGATATCAAACCTAGCATTACTATAGATGTATGTAGGGCTTTGACGAAATTCTTCTAAAATCATAATTTAACGATAACTCGCATCATTTCATTTATAGACTTGATTTAAACAATAAAAAATTTCAATTCTTTATAAAATTCTTCTTCAAAACAAAAGTGCAATAAACAGTGCAAGTCAAAATTTAAAATAATCAAATCATTATCAAAAAAAAAATACAAAAATCCATCAACCTTTCACCCTTAAGTGTTCATTTTCAAACAATAAAACATAATACTAAACTACCAACACGTCTACATTTTCAGATGGCAACTAAAATTAAAACTGGACCCGTTGTTGATATTTTGGGTGATGAAATGACCCGTATCATTTGGTCTTCCATTAAGGACAAATTGATTTTGCCCTTCTTGGACATTGAATTGCACACATACGATTTGGGTATGGAGAATCGTGACAAGACTGCCGATCAGGTTACCATCGATTGTGCCGAAGCCATTAAGAAGTACAATGTTGGTATTAAGTGTGCCACCATTACTCCCGATGAGAAGCGCGTAGAAGAATTCAAATTGCAAAAGATGTGGAAGAGTCCCAACGGTACTATTCGTAACATTCTCGGTGGTACTGTATTCCGTGAAGCTATTACTTGCAAAAACATTCCCCGTTTGGTCAGTGGCTGGGAGAAACCCATTGTTATTGGTCGTCATGCTCATGCCGATCAATACAAGGCTACCGACTTTGTTGTTCCTGGTGCTGGCACCTTGACCATGACTTTTGTTCCTGCTGATGGCAGTGCTGAAATCAAACATGAAGTTCATCAATACAAGGGTGCTGGTGTTGCCATGGGTATGTTCAATACCGATGCCTCCATTGTTGACTTTGCCCATGCCTCTTTCAAATATGCTCTTTCCCGCAAAATGCCCTTGTACTTGAGTACCAAGAACACCATCCTCAAGAAGTACGATGGTCGCTTCAAGGATATCTTTGAAGAAATCTACCAAAAGGAATACAAGAAGGACTACGAGGCCGCTGGCATCTGGTACGAACATCGTTTAATTGACGATATGGTTGCCTACGCCATGAAATCCGAAGGTGGTTTCGTTTGGGCCTGCAAGAACTACGATGGTGATGTACAATCTGATTCCGTTGCCCAAGGTTATGGTTCTTTGGGTCTCATGACCTCCGTTTTGATCTGCCCCGATGGCAAGACTGTTGAATCCGAAGCTGCCCACGGTACCGTTACCCGCCATTACCGCATGTACCAACAAGGCAAGGAAACCTCCACCAACCCCATTGCCTCCATCTTCGCCTGGACCCGTGGTTTGTTGCACCGTGCCAAGCTTGACAACAACGAAGAACTCAAGAAATTCGCCGAAACTTTGGAAAAGGTCTGTGTCGATACCATCGAATCTGGTTCGATGACCAAGGATTTGGCCATCTGCATTAAGGGCATGAACAATGTTCAACGTAGCGACTACATGGAAACCTTTGAATTCATGGATAAATTGGCTGAAAACTTGAAGAAGGCTATGGCTTGACTATCTACTCCTGAGGATAAGAAGTCTCATCTCTAGATTTGAATCTAGTGGATTCATATTTAAGATTTGTATTTGTATGTTTATTTTTAAATAACGCATCTTTTTGCATTTTATGTTTTAATTTTATTTTATAATACATCCTAGATAACAAAAAAAAAAAAAAAAAAAACAACAACACCATATTGGCGTTTAAGAAACGTTAAATTATAAATAAAGAAATTCACCTTTTTTGTACTTTCCAATATAAAAGACAAACGTTTGGAAGTTTTATTTAATGGAAGTATAATTTCATCTCTATAAGAAATTTGGATTGAATTCAGAAATTATCTTTTAATGATGACTGTTGGAAGGTCTCATGTCTTTCCCTTTTTGGACATCGAATTGCATACATAAATTTTGTGTATAGAAAACCGTAACAAGCCATTGACAAACAGAATACTTGTGTTAAGTGTTCACCATCATTCATCGATGAGTAGCGCATTATTATGTGTATGAGCTCCCTTCAGTTCCAATTAAAATTCCAATTCACTTGTTTAACTTTGTTGTTATTTATAGTTTGTTTTGCAATAATCTTTTCAAACGCGGGTCTTAACATGCAGACCCCAAAGGGTAATACGAAGAAAGCTTTCTGTTTAATCTTATAGTAGCAGTATTACAAACAAATCATCTTTGTCTGCAAACTAATACAAATGTTAATTTACACATTCTTTTACTATGTAGGTAATTTCTATTTTCAATATCACGTTTACAATTTACTTAAATTGATTCTTCATTAGAATATGTCAAAGTATTTCAAAATCATTATTTCGTGTTCTGCAATTCTTGACAAGACAATAACAGAAATTCCTATTCAAGGTTATAAAATTAACATTTAAACAAACTCACAAAATGCCGCCATCAATTAAATTTGTCCCGTAACAACAACAACAATAACCCACAGTTTGTACTAAAAGGTCTTTAACCCAGTGTCAATATAAAAGTATAGATTTCACTTTCGAACTGCAAAAAAAGAAAGAAATATTAACCAAAAAGGCAAGTGGCTACAGTATTAGCAAACTCTTTTATCGTTTTGTGTACGTTCGAAGAGTTTTAAAAGAATGTGTCCACTTTGTAGAACTGGCGCTAGTCAAATGTCCGTAGAACACAACATACCACTATTATTCAATAGCCGTAGCTATACGATAACAGACATTTTTGAGGTTTCTTATATTTTTCATGCTTATTTTTGAATTTGCTATTTTAAAAAATATTGTCTTTATTTAATTTTATTCTTAAATTGCTCACAGTCAAAACGTACCTAACGAGGAGACAACATGTTAAAATTTAAAAGTGAAAATTTAATAAAAAAAAATTAACTAATATTTTATTTTAAAAAAACCCCTCCACACTCTACACTACATACATAAACTGCATAGCTACATAAGTGTTTTGATTTTATTTTGTGTTTTTCGAATAATTATTTTTCTTCCTTGGAACGGACGGATATGTTTTCGCAATCCTTAAAAGGACTCAATATCGTTATCGTTCGTAATTGTGTTATTGTGAAAGTAACGTTTATATTGTGTTTTTTAAACTCTTTCGTAACGGCATATCCTCCCAATACCTATCGAGATTTGGATATATGCAATCACTGGAATGGTCGACGTCATTTCCTGGAACTGGGCGAACGTGGAGATTTACATGCTCGTAATGTAACCACTTCAGCATTTCGTGTACGAAATGTAAAATTGTATTTTCTCAATAGAAAATTTAATTAAAGCCAAAACTAACTAATACGAAATTATCGATTGATTTTTATAGACAACACTTTTTGCGCCATCGTCCTCCTCTACCTCCTCCTCTTCCACCTCTACAAATGGAAATTCGTTGAAAAATCGTTCGACTCTGGATTATTGGTATCAGTGTAACCTTGAATTGGTGACGTGTGCAGAATGTGTTATACGCATAACATTTACTTATGCCAATTTCTCGAAAAACTGTGAACGTATGGGCAACACGGCCCTCGGCAAATCGCTAATGTGCCCCTGTGAGCATATGCAATTTTCGGAACCGCCCTACGATAGTTCTATTTCGGGACAGGAATTTTGTGGTGATGGAAAAGTATTTCGTAGTAAAACTCGTACATTGTTGTTGAAATTTTTCTATCGAGCCACCAACAGTCATGTTTTCTCATTGCAATACTTTTCGGAACGTAAGTGAGGTTTTTTTTTATGTTTGAACGTGGGAATATAACAGATTTTAGATCATTGAATAAGGGCAAAGATGGATAATTAAATAGATAGATTAATCAATACATCAAACGATGTTTCAGTAGCAACTCCATTTGGATTAAAAACAAGTAGAATCTTTAGGTTACTTCTTCAAGAAGTTCAAAATATATGGAATAATCTAAACATATTAAGAGGAACTTAATAATATGGTCTATTACCCGAGTTATAAGTTATATATCGAAGTTACTGGCAGACATACAATTCGGCTTGGGCTCTCTTCTATGCGAATTCCCCGCCATAGCTTCAATTCGACTACTTTTTTCTTTAGTTGCGGAATAGAAGCGATTATTTCCAACTTAGATGAATTATCTGGGTCCAGACTCAATGACCTATTAAGATATTTCACAGCTATAGGCGGGATCAAATACCACATAAGTCCCTATGACTATACTTGACAGTTTATCCCATATATCACATTAACCAACCAACTTTTATAGTAGAATGATCGTGGATAAAGCGCTTTCACTATATCCAAAAAAGGGCATCGGATTATTTAAGGCAGTAAGAAGAAGATCACTTTAAATGTGTGGAATAGTTTCATATATAATTTACCTTAGTCTAAGCCCCGCGTAAGACCAAGCAAACGTCATCGAAAATGATGTCGTACCTCTAGCAATGTTTTAGTTTACTCTACGTTACGCATCCACTATTACAGCGATAGAACTTCGATTTCTTTCTCTTTAGCAACTCCATTGTCTGCCGAGAGTATTGCACCTACAGCTGCAATTGTTATGGGTAATAAGGGGAGCGGCGTTTGCCAATAATTGAGTCATACAAGCTACTCAGAATTCCTCTAAAAAGGTGATTTTCCCCATCAATAATTTACGTTTTTAAAGTCATCTCTCCAATATTTAATGGCAAAAACAGAGTCCACGGGTTTAATTGTCCAAATATGTCTTAGATCGCATCCGAGGTTGATTTAAGATATATCTGGGTGTAGATCTCTTATATAAATCACTCAGAAGTTTCAGATGGTTTTACAGAAGATACAAGACTTGATAATTCAAGAAATTTGGCTTATAACGGATGATTTTATATAGATTTTGGAACTTTTCAAGAAGAAGGGCTCGGAGTTCTAGAATAAAAATACGAATCCTTAGGACAACGTTAATACTTTCTTAACCTAGAAGAATATAGTAAAAAATTCATGTTTGGGAGATTTTCAAAGTGTTAACTCTTTTAGGTTTTCAAAAGAAAGTGAAACGTTCAGATTTCATATACAAAAACTAAGGTTTAAGATTTTAAATGATCTAAATCTGTATTATTCGACATACAATATAACTAATATTTCCGATCAACAGTAAAAACACTGGAATATCTTTACTAATCTCTAGGTAATGTTAAAATTGTCAGCGGTTCACCGTATAAAAGTTCTAACAGCGATGAAACACCACAAATCATATCGACACCGTATTTCCCCATGTCATATCCGCGTGACTATGGTACAGAACAAATTCTAACTTGCGAAGCGGATAACTGTAATGTAAGATTAGATTTTACGGACTTTCAATTGGGTCCAACGTCTACGTTGGAAATTTTCGATTCCAATGGACAAATGGTAGATTCCTTTAATGGCGAACATTTTCGTCCACCAATTATTATTAGTACTGGGAAATCACTATTATTGCAATTCCGTGGTAATGGTGTTACAGGTAGTGGTTTTCGAGCGGAAGTTACATTTGTAACACCGAAACAAAGAGAAGATCGTCTTATGCCCTACACAGGTGGGTAGTGAAGGATATAACACCTTGGTAACATTTTACACAGATTTGTTTGTTTTACTTGATAAATAGATTGTGGTGGCTTGGTTTCTGGTCCCGGTGGCGCAATAACTATGATGAATATGATTGAAAATGCCACCGATGTGCGCTTTTTCGATTGCATATGGATTATTAAGCCCGGCAATAACTATATGATGATGAAAACTCATATATCGCTAAGAATTGAGGAGTTCCACAGCATGGCTTCGCGATCAGATCTAACCATTAGACAAGGCACTACATCCGATGCTTTGGAAATCGAAAATGTTGTTTGGCCTAATAATGGCGTTAGTAAAGAGACCCATGTGGTGCCCATACTAACTGGCTATTATATACGTCTAAGGGGAGTCTTTGGCATGTCCTCCAAGTTGGCCATAGTTTATAGTGTTTTCAACTATTTAAGTAGGTTTTCTAAAAGATCTTTTAGGAATTAAAATAATTGATATAATGCTTTTATTTAGATTGCTACATTGGTTCGGAGTTTCTGTGTAGCAATAACCATTGCATCTCGATACGTTTACATTGTGATGGTTTCGATCATTGTGGTGATGGTAGTGATGAACCGGATTCTTGTGAAGATGATTGGGCGCACTTGCAAAATGATCGTCGTTGGTATTCCCACAAACCGAACTATTATTTTCCCAAAATAGAACAATATCCAGATCTAAAAACAGCTACTGGCATTTTTATTATCTCGACTTTGGGTATATTTGCTGTACTGTCTGGCTGGATGGTCATTCTATATCGTATGGGTGTAAGAGCTCGTCATCAAAGGGAATTACAGAATCACTTACAAACCATAAGTGAATTATTGGGTAAATATTCAAAGCAATATTTTAAATTTGCTTCTAAAATAATATGGAATTTTTTAAGCAGATCGTCAAGAGGAAATTACTACACCCGATGAACCGCCCAGCTATGAGGCTCCTCCGGATTACGAAGAAGTCATTAAGATTGGCATGGACACGGAAATGCGTGAGCCACGCGAACGTCATCGTAAACATCATAGACGTCATCGGGATTGCAGTCGTGCCTCTAGTAATGTCACCGTTTCCTCTACGGTACCCATCCACAATTGCAGCGATAGGCCTTCCACTTCTGCTGCTGCAGCTTCTACCTTGGCTGCCGAGAGTATGGCACCTACAGCTGCAGTTATTTTAAGTGATATTGAGGGTTCAGTTTGCCAAGATTTGACTCAACATGTCATACGAGCTACTCAGAATTGTGGTAAGTAGGAATGACAGAAAGGAACCAGGAAAATTATAAATTTTCCATTAGCTACTGATCTATTCTTATTAATTTCTATTTTAAGAATAGTTAAACCGATTTGTTTATATTTTATTAAAAAATTCTTACATCAATTAAGAATCTCGTTTGCAGGTATTACAGGCCCGTCTCAAACAGCAGAGACAGCGTCAACGTCAAATAAATGTCGTTGTAAATGCCAGGCGGAGGAAAATAAATGGAAGCATTTAACAACATCTCCGATTGTTGAAAACACTAGTCAAAATATTAATTCGTAAGTTAAGAATAACTTCTTGTTATTAACAATTTGGTCGAAAGTATCAGATTAGTTCAAAAATCGTAATACAATCAGTGAGATTAAATTGAATATTGTAATGATTTCGGTTGAATTCTTAATTATGTTAAACATATTTCAAATAGAGGCCTTTTTTCAAATATTTTGACTGTTTCATGTTGTTTACACATTGTTTACGTGATGTCAACAAAGTAAATTTCAATACTTTTTTGTACACAATAATAGACCAAACAAAATTTTTACATATTAGTAATATTTCCTATTATTTACACATTAGTCCTCTTGTACTAATACAATATACGACCAAATTGTGAAGCCCAATAATATCTTCTACACAAATCTATTATCAAATTATATCGAATAATTTCAGATGCAATACCACAACCCAATTGGAAGAATGTAGCCATGATTTCTGTGACGATACTTTAAATATTTCATTTTCATTAGGATTACCACAAACCAATAACGGAATAACGAATGAAAACAATAATAACAATAACGAAAATGGTAAGTATAACTTTTCTAAATAAAACCAATAATTAAATTCTCCATTCTAAACATTTCGAGCAGCTAACGCAAGACCCAAAAGTTCTGTAAACTGTACGGAACAAACATGTTTAACAAAATCCTGGATTGTTATGAACAGTGGCGGTCAAACGTACAAGGTACAACGTTTGCGACCCACCTTTTCGTCACCGGAATCATTTCTTCACGATTGGTCCTTCTATGCCGACTCACAGAATTATGGCTCAATTTTGCCACACGAAAAGAGTTTCATTTTAAGTAACAATACCAGTAATTTTATATCGGATCTCTCGAGAGATCCCTCAGCATATAGTATTGACAGTCAAAACTCGAAAACAAGACTGAAAAGTACTAATCCAAGTACAAATAGTTGCAGCAATAACAACATTACAAATGAAAGCGATATTACACTATACGAGGAGGATAATACGCCATCAACATCCGCCGCGACCGGTCAACAGAATTCTGATCCGGGTACACTTCTGCTGCTGATGTCAGAAATGGAAAGTGATGATGGTGAGGGTGGTGAACAGAATATTTCGTGTTTTGGTGCCGTCAATAATCCCTTTAAAGTTAATGCTAAACTAAAATACTCAGCTGTTGGCCGTACTCATATACGGAGGAGACATGCTCGCAGTAGATCCTTTACCAATAGTGGTAATGAACGTTCAGACAACACCTTGAGACGTAGTTCATCGGCCGATTTATTATTATTAAATTTGAGACCAGATAGTAGTGATATTTTGTACAGTGATAATAATAGCAAAGGAAATTTCTATTTAATTTAATAATGAACAACAAAAACAACAAACACACCTGAAATACATACATACATATTTAATGCAATTAATACAATTTGTAATTATTGTAATGAATGGAGTTTTAGTTCATGGTGAATAATAAATAAATAATGAAAATATATTTCAAAATTGGTGGCTTGTTTTATTTGTACTATTAAGAGTTTTTTCTATTAATTTTTGAAAATTATACGTATTTAGAATCTAAATCCTATCATCTAAATTTTAGATGATAGGAAATACGTCCTTCTAAATATCTTATAGCTCTAACTCTATACAAGTTCGTACTACTTGTCCATTATGTAGGTTTGACATTCTAACCAACAAAATCATTTTCTTATCATATATGCAATATGATATATATACAATGTGATTCGTAAAATTTTTGGTACATCATAATATATCAGGGAATTTTTTGACATATCTCCAATATTTCCTATTATATTCACTTTGTTTACATGATGTCAACAATGTAAATATTCGAGTTATTGATTAAAAATCATATTTATCATGTTTTTAACATGTATTTATAACATTTCATAAAATTTACACATTATTTACATAATTACCAACAATTCCTATTATTTACACATTTTTTACATGATGTCAAGTATGTAAAATTTTACAACTTTTTGCAGGGAATAATATAGCATATGAAGTTTTTTCATAACGGCAAATTTTCCTATTATTTACACATTGTTTACATGATGTCAATAATGTAAATATTTGAATTATTGATGGAAAATAATATCCTATTATATTTTTTCTTAAATTTTGACTATTTCGTCTTATTTACATATTGTTTACATGACGTCAACAATGTAAATTTTTGTATTTTTTACTGAAATAATATTATATAAGAATTTTTCACATATATTGATTATTTCATGTTATTTACACTTTGTTTACATGATGTCAACAATGCATTTTTATTGAATTTTTGATGGAAAATAATATTTTTATTATAATTTTTCTTAAATCTTTACTATTTCATATTATTTACATATTGTTTTCATGATGTCAATAATGTAAATTTTGTGTTTTTGGTGATAAATAATATTCTATTTGAATTTTTCACATATATTGATTATTTCATGTTATTTATACGTTATTTACATGATGTCAACAATGTAATTTTTTGATATTTTGATGGAAAATTATATTCTATCATAATTTTTTTCATATATTGGATATTTCATGTTATTTACACATTGTTTACATGATGTCAATAATGTAAATTTTCATGCTTTTGGTGAAAAATGTTATTCTATTAGATTTTTTCACAAATCTTGACTATTTCATGTTATTTACTTGACCACAAAATCAAATTTACATCGCCAAGTCTCACCTTCACTTTCAAAATCATATATTCAATCAATTTTTCACCAGAAATATAAATTTTATCGACAAATTATTGTTAAATTTTTTTTTTTGATACCCGTTTAGTTAACAATCCAATCATCTTACCTTGAAATCCTCTTAACTAATAAGAAACACTATAACTTTTTTTAGATTATATTGTATTTTATTAACTTGTATTTTTGCAAATTTTGTATATGATTAAATAATTATGCTCATACATTTATGTGAATTCAATTTTATGTATGTATGTTTTTTTTTTTTGGGCCATAAACTGTACAAAAAATTATATTAAAATGAAATTTTAATTCGAAAATTAGTATAAGAATAAATAATATTGAAAATTTAGAACTAATCTCAAATTTAAACCTAACCTTAAAATCATAGAATATCTATTGTTTACTTTACTCTGCTTTTATATACATTTTAGCAAAATCAAAGTTTCATTGACACACAACAGGAAAGTCTATTTTTTTAAATACATAATATTTTTAACTTAAAATGAACTTTAATTAGAAACCATTGACTGTAAATAGACTTAATAAATGCATTTTGTACAGTTTATGCGGACCTTCAGCGTTAAACAGACATTTTTATTATTATATATTATGTATGTATATGACATTAAATACTGTGTATGTGTGTGTGTGTCCTTATAAAGTTACATACAAACTGAGACAAATTGACAAATTAAAAATGTTAATGCTTTAACTAAATATAATTTTACTTAATTAAAATCTAAAAATTCATTTAATGATTTCTTGATATTTTAAAGTGAAATTTACTGGAAATTATGTATTTCAGTTTTGTGAGTTTTTCTTAATAGTTTTTATAAAAAAAAAGTAATTTTCAATAAGCTTTAATTAAAATATACATACTAAAACTACAGACACTCATTGGTAGATAAAATGAAAATTAAAAACCCAGCTTGAATAACAAATTGTTAAAATTTTCAATAAAAGACCAACATATGAATTGCACTTTTTAAAGTTAAACTCAAAATGTATAATCTCGACTACAATAAAACGGTCTGCCGAACATAAACTAATTTCATTATTTTATTTTCAAAACTTAAAAAATATGAATTCTCACGTGTTCTTGCCGTTTAAAATAGTACTAACATATAAGCTACGAGTCTAGTATATAGTCTAGACTATTGACTAGACTATATACTAGACTATAGATTAGACTATAGACTAGACTATGGACTAGACTATATACTAGACTATAGACTAGACTATAGACTAGACTATAGACTAGACTATATACTAGACTATAGACTAGACTATATACTAGACTATAGACTAGACTATAGACTAGACTATAGACTAGACTATATACTAGACTATAGACTAGACTATATACTAGACTATAGACTAGACTATAGACTAGACTATAGACTAGACTATCGACTAGACTATAGACCAGACTATAAACTAAACTATAGACTAGACTATAGTATAGCCTATAGACTAGACTATAGACCAGACTATAAACTAAACTATAGACTGGACTATAGTATAGCCTATAGACTAAACTATAGACTAGAATATAGACTAGACTATAGACTAGACTATAGACTAGACTATAGACTAGACTATAGACTAGACTATAGACTAGACTATAGACTAGACTATAGACTAGACTATAGACTAGACTATAGACTAGACTATAGACTAGACTATAGACTAGACTATAGACTAGACTATAGACTAGACTATAGACTAGACTATAGACTAGACTATATACTAGACTATAGACTAGACTATAGACTATAGACTAGACTATAGACTAGACTATAGACTAGACTATAGACTAGACTATAGACTAGACTATATACTAGACTATAGACTAGACTATAGACTAGACTATAGACTAGACTATAGACTAGACTATAGACTAGACTATAGACTAGACTATAGACTAGACTATAGACTTGACTATAGACTAGACTATAGACTAGACTATATACTAGACTATAGACTAGACTATATACTAGACTATAGACTAGACTATATACTAGACTATAGACTAGACTATAGACTAGACTATAGACTAAACTATAGACTAGACTATAGACTAGACTATAGACTAGACTATAGACTAGACTATAGACTAGACTATATACTAGACTATAGACTAGACTATATACTAGACTATAGACTAGACTATATACTAGACTAGACTAGACTATAGACTAGACTATAGACTAGACTATAGACTAGACTATAGACTAGACTATAGACTAGACTATAGACTAGACTATAGACTAGACTATAGACTAGACTATATACTAGACTATAGACTAGACTATACTAGACTATAGACTATAGACTAGACTATAGACTAGACTATAGACTAGACTATAGACTAGACTATAGACTAGACTATAGACTAGACTATAGACTAGACTATATACTAGACTATAGACTAGACTATATACTAGACTATAGACTAGACTATATACTAGACTATAGACTAGACTAGACTACTACTATAGAGACTATAGACTAGACTATATACTAGACTATATACTAGACTATACTAGACTATAGACTAGACTATAGACCAGACTATAAACTAAACTATAGACTAGATTATAGACTAGACTATAGACTAGACTATAGACTAGACTATAGACTAGACTATAGACTAGACTATAGACTAGACTATAGACTAGACTATAGACTAGACTATAGACTAGACTATAGACTAGACTATAGACTAGACTATAGACTAGACTATAGACTAGACTATAGACTAGACTATAGACTAGACTATAGACTAGACTAGACTAGACTAGACTATAGACTAGACTATAGACTAGACTATAGACTAGACTATAGACTAGACTATAGACTAGACTATAGACTAGACTATAGACTAGACTATAGACTAGACTATAGACTAGACTATAGACTAGACTATAGACTAGACTATAGACTAGACTATAGACTAGACTATAGACTAGACTATAGACTAGACTATAGACTAGACTATAGACTAGACTATAGACTAGACTATAGACTAGACTATAGACTAGACTATAGACTAGACTATAGACTAGACTATAGACTAGACTATAGACTAGACTATAGACTAGACTATAGACTAGACTATAGACTAGACTATAGACTAGACTATAGACTAGACTATAGACTAGACTATAGACTAGACTATACTAGACTATAGACTAGACTATAGACTAGACTATAGACTAGACTATAGACTAGACTATAGACTAGACTATAGACTAGACTATATACTAGACTATATACTAGACTATAGACTAGACTATAGACCAGACTATAAACTAAACTATAGACTAGACTATATACTAGACTATAGACTAGACTATATACTAGACTATAGACTAGACTATAGACTAGACTATATACTAGACTATATACTAGACTATAGACCAGACTATAAACTAAACTATAGACTAGACTATAGTATAGCCTATAGACTAGACTATAGACCAGACTATAAACTAAACTATAGACTGGACTATAGTATAGCCTATAGACTAAACTATAGACTAGACTATAGTATAGCCTATAGACTAAACTATAGACTAGACTATAGACTAAACTATAGAATAGACTATAATATAGCCTATAGACTGAACTATAGAATAGACTGTAGACTAAACTATAAAAATATATCTTATCGAAAGAACAGTTTTAAAAATTCCTCTTTTTATAGAAAAGTGTCAAAACTTCCTCTTAGCTTTGAACAATTTTGGTATTTTCTCATTTCCTTAAATTTTT